CCGGGCCCGCCCTGCCCGGCTCCCGTTCCTGCCGCGGGGTTTCCGGCAGAAAGGTTTTTTAAAGGCAAGATCCTCGGTTCCCAGCCCGCGGGTTGATGGGTTGTTGTTTTTGCCTCGAGGCGTATTGGTGCTTGTTTTTAGCGGTGATGTTAAGTTGGTTTGGACAGGGATAGGTGCCTCCACTGTTCTGAATGTGGAGAGAGTAATGGTGTTGCTGAGAAGATTCTGCACAGCTCTCTGTGGTGAATTCATAACTTTCCACGTGTTGTTATCCTTGACTGTCAGCGTTTTCTGTATTTTCCTGCATTTCTTCTTGCATTCAGCTGGCTCCCTCCTCTGACTGCCTAGCAGTGGTGAAATATCAGAATTAGTAAATGGAATTACTGAACTTTTTTCTCCCACGAGGGAAAACTTGTTTAGTGTTTATTTATTACTAAAACTGTGTGCCCAACTTTGCTGATCTCCCTGTGGCTACAAGGTAGCAGTCATCACTTTCTCCACGCTGAAATATCTTCCCCACATCTCTAGTGAGAGAGTCATTAAGCAGACCAGAAATGCATGCGTGGGGCAATAATGTTTCTCAGCCAAGTTTCTTTTTAATTATTTCATTCTTGTTTGAGTCAGCAGAAACTTTTGTTCTTTACCCACTTTCATGCTCCAGGGAGATTTGCATTAATTGGCTTGGCTTGGTATAGGATACAAAGTCCTTTGGAGCCTTTCTCTTAGAATCTAGATTCCTGAAGGAAAATTGTAATGGTAGAGAAAACACAAATTTCATCTCCTGAGTAAGTGGCTAAACTTGCACTCAGGTGTCTGTACAGTGCAGGGTTCATTGTATGAGATTATTTTCTTTGGATTTATGTTTTAAAGCCCTGAGAATTCAAAAGTTTGTGCAGAGCTTCTGGGAATATTAGGCTGATGCCAGCTGATAGCATGAAAATCATCAGGGGTGTGTAGAGCTTGAAAGAGCAGTACATGAAAAATGTAATCTCTAAACAAAATTTTTTTGGAAAGACTTCCTGTCTTTTCTCTTCTGAATGGCAGTAATTGTGTGTTCATCTGAACAGATGAAGGCTGCCTTTAAAGGTGCAGCTTTTTGAAGTGGGATGTAAGGAATGAGGAATAGGGCAAGAAGTTACATTTATTATTTTAATGTTTAATATTTGAGCTTATTATTAAGCTGTAATAGTTAAGGAAAAGAATTAAAAAATACATAAATTTTCCCATTAATAAGATTTGAGTCAGAAGATATTTTCACTTGCTGATTTGTTATTTTGGAATCTCACATTGGCAGTATATGCCTCAGGCTGAATTACATGACATGGATTTAGCTACAGGTCTTTCAACCACATTTATCAATTTTTTAAAGCTAACTTGAGCTCCTTTTGGGATCAAAGTTGGAGGAAGGGAATGTCTTTCTGCCTTTCACAATAATTAAATCATCAAGTTAATTTTTCTTTGGACTGTGTGTTTGCATACAGAAGTGCTGGGTTTTGAAATCTGGCAGAGAATTGCATTTTATTATCCTTATGAATTCAAATTCAGAAATTGTGTCTAAATTCTGGAGTGGTTGCTGTAAATTGGAAAAAAAACCAGTTTACATGTCCTCAGTGACAACTTCATGAAAACATGTTACTCTCTTTGAGAAAATATGTGTTTTGTACAGCTCTGTGTGAGTTCAGCTTTGTCCTGCTCAGGCCCCAGGTCTGCAGCTGTGCCTGAGGTGCTGCAGCTCAGGAGGGGAAAACCTGGCTGGGCTGTGGAAGTGCAGCAGCAGAGGGGAAATGGAGTCGTGGGGACATCTGGGCACAGCTGTGAGTGCCCTCAGCAGCTCCGGGGCTCAGGTGGGAGGGCAGGGAGGGGCTGGGGCTGCAGGAGGCTGCCAGGGAGCAGGGACAGCTCTCTGTGCCTGAGGGAGCTGCACAGGGAGACACAAACGGGGAGTGAGAGCAGAGCTGGGCTGAGGTGGCAAAGAGGAGCCGGGACTGGTCTGCTGAGCAAGGGCAGAAAATCCACAAAGACTCCAAGATGGGGGCTAAGGAGAGAATGGAGAACTTGTCATAAGAAGCAGAGCTATGAATTTGAAGGGGTTCAGCTGTCTGGGATAAAAGAAAATTGGAGGAGTGAGAATGAGACAGAAACAAGAAACTGGGACAGCAAACACGAGTTAGAAGGCAGAAGAGCTGGAATAGCACAGGCCTGACAAGCCCAGACTAGAGCTCATAATTTTTCTGACTGGCAAGTGTCACTGAAACCAAATTATAAAACTTTTTTTTTTTCTCCTTCAAATGTTATACAGCAGAGGGGATGGCCAGGTATTTCTGGTCTGAAGCAGTTTGGGGTATTAGTAATAAAATCCATATGAGGGAATTCTGCTGAATTTGTTTGATTTTTGACTTGGAGAGCTACACAGGTGTAAAATTTATCATCAGCAGCAATGTCAGAAAGTGCCAGAATGAATGTTGGTTGTAAAACCTCACTGAGCCCCATCCCCCAGTGTGGGATGAAGGTCTGTGATTGAATATTAACAGTATTTTTTCCCCAAGAATCTTAACTTTTCACTGCAGGTTAATATGTAATGATTAACTAATTAAAGACTTGTATTTACCTTAGTTTGTGTGGTTTCACTTTCTTATCAAATTGATAAAGCAAACAAGTTAAAATTAAATACTTTGACTCCAACATTTTATAGTTTGTGTTTGTTCCCTGTCCCTGCCATCCCCTCTGAGTTCTGTGTTGGTTGTACACAGGGTGCCAGTACAAATGTTAGTGTGTATTTCACCTTGGTTATTTAGTGTATATTTATTTCACCTTAGTTATTTAGTGTATATTTTACCTTTGTTATTTAGTGTATATTTTTTTCACCTTGGTTATTGAGTGTATATTTATTTCACCTTAGTTACTTAGTGTGTATTTCCCCTTAGTTATTTAGTGTATATTTTACCATAGTTATGTTAGTGTATATTTCACCTTGGTTATTTATTATATATTTATTTCACCTTAGTTATGTTAGTGTATATTTCACCTTAGTTATTTAGTATATATTTATTTTACCTTAGTTATGTTGGTGTATATCCTACCTTAGTTATTTAGTATATATTTATTTTACCTTAGTTATGTTGGTGTATATCCCACCTTAGTTATTTAGTATATATTTATTTTACCTTAGTTATTTAGTGTATATTCACCTTAGTTATTTAGTGTATATTTACTTCATCTTAGTTTTTTAGTGTATATTTTACCTTAGTTATTTAGTGTATATTTCCCCTTAGTTATTTAGTATATATTTATCTCATCTTAGTTATTTAGTATATATTTATTTCACCTTAGTTACTTAGTGGATATTTCATCTTAGACTTTTAAGGTAGTCTCACTTGATACGTGGTGATTAAAAGTATATTCTGCTTGGGGTATCTGTTTCAGAAGGCAGTGGCTAACACAGAGCATTATACAAACAGTTCTGCAGGAGTTTACACTTGAAACAACTTCCTCTAAGTTGTAGTTGTGGTTTTTCCCAGCACCTTTTTTCCCAAGGGTAGTAGTTACTCACACCACGTTTTGTTAATATCAAATAAAAGCCTGATGATGCAATGGGGGATAGAATTTCATTTTTCAGGTTGCTATGGGATCGCTCTGATGCTGAGCTTTGTTTTCCCACGGAGCCCTGGAAAAGGCATCGTGCCCTTTTGTTAAAGAGATGGAAAATAAAAAATGTTCAACCCAGACAGGAGCTTAAATTCTGAAGTTTCGTAACTTTGGAGCATTTGGTATAATAAATCGAAGAAAGACTGTAATGTGGCTGTAAGTGTTGAGTGATTGGGGATGTGTAATGTTCAGAAATCATCACTTGTGTAATTTCTGTAGAACCACAGGAAACAAGGCTTAGAGGACACTTCAGTACCATGTAATTGCATTTCTCTCTAGATAAGATGGGCTGCATTATTTTGGTCAAAGATGTTCTTTGCCTGATGATGGAGATTGTGTATTGTAGTTCAGTACTACCTGAATGTTTGTCCAGAGCGTGCACCTTCAATCCTGTCTCTATTCTAAGACACCACTGCTGTTTTCTTACCACACACCCTTTTCCCTATTTCAAGTGGAGACTTGTTGAAAGTGTGCCCATTTCAGTGCCATGACACAGGCAGAGAGGAGGGGAAGGTGCAGGCTGGTGTCTGGCTGCCCTGTCAGCGAGGGGTTTGCTTTGCAGGCGCCGTGTGTGGAAGATGCCCAGCCGCAAGTTCGCTGATGGCGAGGTGGTGATGGGCCGCTGGCCGGGCAGCGTCCTGTACTACGAGGTGCAGGTGACCAGCTACGATGATGTGGCTCATCTCTACACTGTCAAGTACAAGGATGGAACTGAGCTTGCACTCAAGGAAAGTGACATAAGGGTGAGTGTGAAAATGGGTGTGTCATGATTGGCTTTTTGTAAATATTCAAATTAATATTATATGTGTTAGAAAGTTAGAAAGCTATGCTGTGTTAATTTTTTTAAGTAGTGTGTTCAATATAGTTTTAACTTATCACATGATGTTCAAATAGACACTATGTATGTAGGATTTTTAAAGACAGGAATGAGGTACTCTCACTGAGATAGCATCCACAGGACACCTAAATCTTTCAGAAAAAAAGAATTTATTGCTCCATTATCAGAAGGAACAAATTTCTTCCCACCTTGCTCAGCCCTGAGAATGCCATTAGGATTCAGAGCAAGAAGCTGACACTGACCAGACAGAATCCTGTGTTTGAATGGAATTTATGCATCATGTATGAAGTGTATGAATATGCAACAGGCTGTTGCTTTTAAGGGTTAACCCTCTGTTAACGTGGGTCCTTTTCCAGGCTCATGCTACCCAGAAAGAGGCACCCAGACTGTCTGTAACTCCTTGTTTCTATTATTACTCTAATTATAGTACTATTTTTATAACCATTTTATTACTATTAAACTTGTAAATTCTTAAGCGATTGGCATTTTTCACAGTGAGCACACATGTATTTAATTTTCAGTACTTCAGTAGGACTGGGTAGTTACTTTGCAAATTTTTGTTAACTTCTTCAAGGAATTGGTGCTAAGTAAAAATTTCTTCCTTTGTGACACCTCAAGTAGAAATTCAGAATTACCCCATATTTAAAGCTTCATAGTTGTTTTATTTATGTTAAAAAAGTATCATATTTTGAGGAAAACCAAGTCTGATTCTTCAGGAACTCTGTAGCAGGATTTTTCATTAAAAACTTGGTTTGAGTACCTTACAAAGGCAGTAATCAATGGGTTGATATTAATTTGATGGCTTTCCATCTCTAAATAAGAAAATTTGATAACAAATGTGAAGATGCAGTTACATGTCACTAAATACAAACAGTGCATGCCCTTCAAGCTCACACTTAAAACTTCTGCAAAGAGCTTCTGCTTGTTCAGGTCCTCAAAGGCTTCATGAGGTGTTTGTGACAACTGCAATCCCTTGAGAAAGGTTCATGTCATATAAGCATATTTCTTCCTCTTTACTTATCATTATTTTATTTTTTGTTACTAATAAAGGCCTTTCAAACTTCATAGCCAGTTTAAAATGATTAATGCAGGAGGAAAAAACCCTGTTTAAATGTTCACTGTAGTCATTTCTCTGGCCTGTTCTGAAACCTCATGGGTTCAAAGCCAGTTTGTGTGCCTTTATGTGAGCTTTAGTGTCACTTCTGGTGGCAGTGTCCATGCCCAGTCAGTGGCCTTCTCTTTTGGGACCAGAATGTTTCTGCCTTGAGGTAGGCAGCTGTTTTGACTGTTTCAAGACTTTGTGATTTGTTCCTGCTGCATGCAGGTTAGCAGACCCAAACTGGGAAAATGCCTTTGATTGTAAAAGTTGCATTGTGGAAATTTTACATGGGGAAATCAACATTGTAGACTTCCCAGAGAAATCAAACAGTGCTTTTGGGGTTAAGTGCTTTTGTTTATGAAATTAGTTACCAGATATAATTAAATTATTAGGCTGACTTGGGTTTTTAGTGTTGATTTTAGTGCTGAGGCTGTGTTGCCTCACACAGGTGATGACCCTTGCTATTCAAATGCATTAATAAAGCTGAATGGTGGAAGTGAGAGCAGCCACTGAGGGCTTGGGAGGCAGCTCTGAATTCCTCTCCCTGTGCACAGGATTGAGAGGGTGGTGTGCCAAACAGCTTGGTGCTCACTTTGTAGCTTACGTCCATAGCCTGATTTCTGCAGCTTCAACAGTTGGACTTGGAACAGGCTTCTCTGGGAATTGCCAGCAAAATGAGTATTCTGCAGTTGCTCTTTCTTACCAGCCTTTGTAGAGCATCAGTAGAGGAAATACGAGACAGATCTACAGAACTGTGTGCCAGAGTCCTCATCACAAACCCCCCCATGTTTCTAAAATTGTTCTTTGGTTCATGCTAAGATTTTGCTTGTTTTCCATCTTTGTTCAGTCGCAGTCATCGTTCAAGCACAGGAAGAGCCAGTCCTCCTCGAGCTCTCCCTCCCGCAGGAGCAGCAGCCGCTCCCGATCCCGCTCGCGCTCTCCCGGCCGGCCGGCCAAGGGCAGGCGTCGCTCTGCTTCCCAGAGCAGGGAGCACAAGGAGGACAAAAAGAAACCCAGCCAGGAGCCCAGCATAGCTCTGCCGGTATTTGTTCTGTTTGTTGGCTTTTTATGCGGGGGTTTGCTGGATTTTTAGTTAAAGAAACTTTTGCTACTTGTGAAAGATTGTTATTTTGCAGAGTGGGTTTATCATTGCAAAAGCCAGTTCATGTTCCCCAGACAGCATAAAAGTATATCTCAGAACTGCCTTTTTTTTTTCTTTAGAAATTGGGTTTCTAGCTTGCAAAGTTTGAGGAAATTCTTGAGAGGCAAACCAAGGTGATAAAGTTCCACTTGAATTTGGTGATACTGAGAGCTCATAATCCAAACAAACAAAATTTAAAATATTTAATACTGAAGTAATTGTTAGCCATGTGCTTCCACTTGTGAAATGGGGCAATGGAAGTTAGCTTACTTTTGGGTCTGTTAATTGCTACATAGCAGGTAGGTATTAGGATTTGAAATAAAATGAGTTCTGTACCATATACAGTTTTGTGCAACAGTAGTGGAAAACATACAGTGTGGAATATTTAAATATGGCCTTGTGATGGGTAATATTGTAAAACTGATTTCATTGTAAAAACTAACTTGTAAGGATTTCTAAGTTTACCAGTATCTGGTGCCTAGCTGATATTTATTACGTTTGTTCTTAGCATTTTTGTGAAGATTGAGTGCTACAAATGGTTCTGGTGATCTTTAAGTGAAGAGGAGTAGAGGTGATGTTTCTCTGTGAAAAGACAAACAGCATCTCTTGTGCCCTTGAGATGGTTTCTCACTTGTCTGAGACACAGTCCCTGGAACTGGAAGTGCATTCTGCTGATCTATTGGGAATGAACAGGTTTTAGTTAATTTCAGCTAGATTAAACCAGATTAATATAAACTAGCTAGATAGGTTGAGTAAGTGGGTACTCTTGGGCACTGAAATAGTTGTGGGGTTTGTTTTGCAGTGAGTTCCTTGGAGCTGTGTGATCCAGTGCCTGTGATTCACAATCTGGTTTTAAGTAGTTTTTTAGCCAGCAGCTGCTGTTTACTTTTAGTACTTTTAACCTTTTGGGATAAAAGGGTCAAAAAGTCTTTGGTGGTTTTTCCTGGCTTCTCTTTGAGGAGTAGGATTGATCTGTTGGCTCTTGTAAGACTGGAAGGACCAGGTTCTCTTCAACAAAACTTGAGTTGAAATAAAACATATGAGTCATGTCTTCCCAGAGCTGTGTAAGCTAGACTCACTGGAGAAGAATTTTTATGAGAGAATTTATTTCTTCAGAGGTATTTTATAGAAATCCAAACTTTCAGTTCTGCGGAACACTGCCCTATATAGGACACTGAAAGCTTAAACTCTGTTTCTTGTTTTGACCAGAAACCGAGTGAGAATAACACCAAAAGGTACAATGGTGAGCCTGAAAGTACAGAGAAAAATGCCACATCCTGCATTGTCTTGGAGGTAAGAACACAGAATTTGCTCTTAGCTTTTTGTCACACTGCTAGCTTGGCTCTCTCAGAAATTCCTAGAAGAGGGCAATACAATAATCAAACAGAAATAGAAGGCAACATAAAACTTATAGGTTGAGTAAGTTGCTACAGAGAAAGTGATTTTAAATTGTCCTGATTGTTATCTGGTGCCCAGGCACGTGGCAGAAGGGAAAGGGGAGGGTGGGAAAGGAGGATCTGTGATCACAGCCTAATAGTAACTATGCCTGGTTTTAGCAGGCTCTTTGTACGAATGGATAATTGTACATTGGTGTTCTACAGTGAGTAATGTCCTCTGAAATATCCACTAAAGTAAAATCACTGGGAAACCTTTCAGTAAATAAATTATTTTTATTCGTTTACAGCAAAAGGTAAAACCAGACCTGGAAATCAAGCGCGTGCTCGATCAGTACAGCTTGCGTTCGAGGAAGGATGACAAGAAAAAAGAAGAGATCTATTCAGAGAAAAAAACTTTTGTGGCTGTGAAACCAATTGAGAAAGTATCAACAAAAACAAAGGAGATGGAGTTTGGGGGAAGGATTGGTATGTGTGCAAATTGTCTTAATAGTTGAAAATTGGTACTATTTTGTGGGGTTTTACTTATTGACCATATTGTCATGTCAAGAGCTGCTTTTTGGACCTTGGCTGCAGAATTCAGAGTAAAATTGTTGTGTTTCACTTGATTTGGTTGCAAAGAACTTTATTGCACTTGGTTCATATGTGAAATACAGCAGAGATCTTGTGCCACCCCTTGCCACAGTGAGATTTAAATACTTCTAAGTTAAATTTAACAATTAACCAGCAAAGCTTTTACATTTTCAAAATGTAGGTGCTTGAAACTTGACAGTAAAGTATTTTTAGACAGTTTTTGGATTATTTTGGAAGGGATGCAATGAGTGTGATCCCATGGTAGGTGACCTTGTATGGGGGTGAGAAGAATGTCTCAGTGTCCTGTTACATGACTGTGGGATTGCTGCTGTCTTGTTCAGGAGAAAATAATGGAAACCTCTTCTTTGTTACTTAATATTGGGTTCTTTTAGTGGGATTGAAATTTTTTTTTAAAATTTTCTGTACTCACCTTCTAACATGCCATGATGTCTGTTTACAGGGACCTTCATGCTGATGTTAGTCCTGCCTGCTACTGTATTCTACCTGCTGTTGATGTGCAAACAAGATGATCCAAGTCTTCTGAACCTCCCTCCTCTGCCAGCACTTGAGAGTCTTTGGGATTGGAGGGTGTTTGGTGTCATTCTCCTGTGGTTTTTCCTTCAAGCTGCATTTTACTTGCTGCCGATTGGAAAGGTAGGCTCTTGGGAGCACTTGGGCCTTTATGGGCAACTAAACTGGGTGTTAGGCTGGAAGGTGAGGTGTGTTCTAAATGCAGTGAATTTGAAAGGAATTTAATGAGTTTTTCATAGTAAACTGAAATATAGCAGCTGCAGATTTCTGTAAGCTTAAAGCAGCTCAGCTGGTTCAGAATTTCTGCATTTCAGAGCCTTCCATTAGAGAAGGCAGAAGGCATTTTATAGGCATTCAGATCAAAGTGTGGACAGACTTTGCTCGATGGAATTCTAGAAGAGTTTTAGGTGTCTGACTTTTAATTTCACAAACTATTTCAATACTCAGGTTCTTGTGGATATGCAGCATTTTGGAATACAATCTTCATTTACAGGAATCTATAAACCATTCTAGCCATATGTATGAATATCTGGCAAAGGCTCTCCATCCCTCTCTTGTGACTTGAGGGTTAGTGGCAGATTCTGAAAGGACACTCTGAAGTAGATCAATCATGTTTTATTGCTGTACATGTTCACAATGACTGGAGAAGTTCTGCTTTCTTGGAGCTGCTTAAGAAGAGGTTTATTGTAAATAATATTTTTATTTGAAACTGCTAATCTTTTTCATTTGCTGTCCAGAGTATGTTTTTTAGAACAGTGCATGAGCTTCAGGTTTGAGTGTGTCCAGCCTTGGTTGCTTTGACTGAATGCCTTTCTAACAGAGTTGAGCTTGCTTTTCCTCACCTGAAGGGCCTACAGAAAACATTTTGTTGAGCATTAAGATTTTATTCTCCTCAGGTTGTAGAAGGCCTGCCTCTTGCCAGTGGGAGGAGACTGCAGTACCGGATAAATGGTGAGCATGCTGCAGCTGGTTATTCCAGAACTGATTCCAGTGTGTGATTTGTAGAGCTCAGCACCATAAAACACAAATGTTGAAAAATACAGTTTGACCAGAGAGCCTATCTGTTGTAAACCTTGGGTAAAATAGGATGAGCCTTTTCTTGGAAAAAGGTGCTTAGTAATCATCAGGAACTGAGTGACCCAAGAGCAGGACATCACACTGTGTGGGGTGGTAGTGAATTACTTTTGTCATAGTCTGGTAAGATGTGTCATTTAAAGCTGGAATAGGGCTGGAAGTAACAAACAAGGGGAGTTACATCCTGCAAAAGTGACTCCTGGAGGCTTCTCATACCTGTCTTGGTTTTGGGCTTTTGTCTGTAGTTGTGCCATGCATTCTGATAAAGGGAGGAAATAAGCTACATAATTTGGATTGTTAAAAAAGAAGAGCCATTGTCTTGGTGCTGCAAAGGCTAATTTTAAAAGCAAATTTAAAAGTCTTGAGCAAAGGTAAGGACAGGAGGCACTGGGCACCAAGTGAAGCACAGGAGGCTCCAGCTGAGCTAGACCAGGTGAACCCTGGAGGTTCCTTCTAACCTGTGAAGGGATCCATAGCAAGTCCTTAGCTGAGGGCAGCAGAGAACTGCCTGCTCCTGTTTGGGCATCAATCCATTCTGTGTGAAATTATACTCTCAAAGTATGCAAAAGTGCTTGTGTTCAAGTTTTATCTTCTTGAGAAGTCATTTTAATACTTTAATTACTGCTATCTGTGTCAAGCTATATATTAAGATAATTCAAAGATGAGAATAAGGGTGTCTCAGCTGTCTCATAGATGAGACTTTGTGACCTGCTCTCATTATCCATTAGTAGTGCCAGTGTCCATTTTTCCACTAAAATCTGAAATTGGATCCTATGGCATAAAAAATTGAGAAGTATTCAGAGCGTTCCTGCCTCTTGTCCTTTTGGTGAGGACAGCTTCAGGGCTCAGAGTCCCTTAGTGATTGCTGTGCCCCAGAAGTTTGAACCATGGGATGTCCAAGGCGTTACTGGAATATGGACAAATATTGGAAGGAGTAAAAGCGCAGAAGGGTTGGATTAGGTCGGCCCTACTAAAAAGATAATTTTTTTTTTATTTTGACTAATATATCTTTCTTCTACATCCTTTAGGGTTTTATGCTTTTATTTTGACTGCTGCAGCCATTGGAGCTTTGTTGTACTTTGGATTTGAGCTCCATTATTTGTACGATGAGCTGGTGCAGTTTGCAGTGGCAGCCGCCGCCTTTGCTCTGGCGCTGAGCGTTTACCTGTACGTGCGGTCCCTGAGGGCGCCTGAGGAGGAGCTGGCACCAGGCGGAAATTCTGGTGAGTTGGAACATTCTGGGTGATTCCTTTCCAATTGTGTGCTATAGTTTCATTTCTACACATAACCAGCCCCAAATCCAGCCTGTAATTATAATACTGTGACTTTAGTTTGGCTCTGTGAACTGTTGTTTGGTTTTTCTTTCCCCCACAAACTCAATCCCAGATATGAAGTCAGGGCATGGTGTTTTCCTTCTTGTCCACCTTTTTTGATGGATGGGTAATTGTCACAGTTAAATGGAATTCTTTTTCCCAGACAAAAGCAATTAAATAGGAGAAAATGTAAAATTAATAAATGCCATATGATCATGTTCATGTTCATTGTGATGTAAGCTTCAGGATAAGGCTGAAAATAAAGAAGGGACAAGTGTCAGGGAGAACTTCTAAAGTGTTTAGTCCTCCTAATTAATAAAAAATTAGGACATCTTAAAATACAAAATATGTAGCTTTTGTTTTGTATTTTGCACATACTCTTCAAATTTCTTTTTTTTTGCCAATCTGCAGGCTTTTAAAAATTTGTAATGAGAGAACATTAGTGGAAAGTGGGATTTTATTTATGGGGAGGAGTGTAGTGGCAGATAAAAACAAGAGCATTGCTAACAGAGGTTTGTCTTACCTGCAGGGTATTTTATTTATGACTTTTTTACTGGACATGAACTAAACCCTCGTATTGGCAGCTTTGACCTCAAATACTTCTGTGAGTTGCGTCCAGGATTAATTGGCTGGGTGAGTCAGTAATCTGAATTATTTTATTTCCTTAAACAGTACACTGAGGGATTTTTTTTTACACACACACAGACATATAGTTGATATTAAGGATATTTAAAAATAAGGATATTTAAAAATAGAGTACTGACAAACAGTTCCATGTTGCTAGTTTTTTAATGACTATTTTTATTCACTTGAAGGAAATTTCTAGCTTAGTTTTGTGGCAAATGAAAACCCTTTTTAAGGTATTCATGTGTTGAGGTTATACAGCTTCAAAATATGGTTAGTTGCAAACTTACTTGTAAAATAGTTTATTGGTTTTTTTAAACTAAACATTGGTATTCAAATGTCCTGTAGTGTAATAGAAAAGACTGCTTTCTTTTAAAGTGAACTTTTAAATGAAATCTTTTCTAACTTAGGTTGTTATAAACTTGGCAATGCTCTTGGCTGAGATGAAGATCCACAATCTCAGTGTGCCATCCCTGTCCATGATTCTCGTGAACAGCTTCCAGCTCCTCTATGTGGTGGATGCTCTTTGGAATGAGGTAAATGCCAACCCCCTTCAGCTGTGTCCATTTCTAATTAGTGTTAAGAGAAGGAGGCTTTGGAAGTGCTGAAATTCCTTCCTCCTTGTTTCTAGGAAGCTGTTTTGACTACAATGGACATTACCCATGATGGATTTGGATTCATGCTGGCCTTTGGAGATCTGGTGTGGGTTCCATTTGTCTACAGCCTGCAGGCCTTCTACTTAGTGGGTCACCCCACCACAATTTCTTGGCCTGTTGCTGCTGCAATTACTGTTCTGAACTGTAAGTTACAGTAAATGTCATTGTTGTGTTGGTTACAATGTAGTTCTGATTGTGTCTTAAGAGATGGGAGGTGAAGCTTTAGCTCAGATGCAGCAGTCTTGGTCTGGCTCCTGTGAAATACAAGGAATATAATAAATTCTCATTTTAGCAAGTGAGGGATAGGTGAGGCTCTGAACACCTAATTGTTCTGTTGAGCAGCAGCTCTAGGTGGGTGCTGTCTGGAGTTAAAGAAGTGACTTAACATCTTTTGAATTTAATAGATGCTTTTTAAATTCAATCTGAGCAACTCATTTAAAGAAAAAAAGTCAGTACCCTCTTCTGAACCTGGGGAAAAAGTAACTATTGCACCTCCTTCCCTGACGGCCACAGTGACAAACACGTCAGTAGAAAACATCTTTTTCATCAAAGCTGATTGCTTTGAGAAAAGATCTCACATCTTTGGGCAACCTTAAATTTGCACCAACATGTGCTTGTTGTGCCTGTTACCTGAATAGAAGCAATAAAAACCCACTCGAATTTTGTAGACATGACAAAGAATTAGAAAAAATGAGAAGATGTACAATTTAATATGTGCAATACTGAAAAACAGAAAATATTTTTTTCTTTTTCACTTCATGTTTTTTCTTGGGTTTCTATTATTTAAAAAAATAATATCTTTATTCAAAGTATGTTGTGATCATCTTTTTTTCAATGCAGCTTTGGAAAAAGCAAGTTTAAGCTGCTGTGTGAAAATGATGGGGGATATGAATTCCAAACCCAGATAATTCCTTGTCTGCTTCTTTTATTATCATGATCCTGTAAATGAGTTGTCAGTTTATGGAGTAGGTGCTGTAACAAAGTGCTAGGCTGCAAAATAGAGCTGTAATCATACAATGTGAAATTCACATCACCTTCTGCGAATTTCAAACTCAGTGTAACATTAAAAACTCAGATTTAGATGTGAAAATAAAATTTCTTCAGAGTCTCTTCAAAGTTAGTCAGTAACAAGGATCTTAGGGAATGCAGGTTTCCAGTGGCATTTCTGTCTGGTAAAGCAGAAAATACCAGTTGAATCTCTGGGGAAAAGCCTTTGATGGAGTAAGTGTGGCAAAGGCATGTGAGTGCTTTTGTTGAAGCTGAGAGAACCAGAAAATGCTGAAAATGTAAAACAGATGATGTTGATTTTCAACATGATGTTTATTTCCAGGTATTGGGTATTACATCTTCCGCAGCGCAAATTCTCAGAAGAACAATTTCCGACGGAATCCAGCAGACCCCAAACTGGCCAGTGAGTGCATTTCTTATTCCTTTGGCTGGGGCTTTATTCACTGGCTCTTTGTAGTGTGTAAATACATATTTCAGTCACTGCATTGACACAACACTCTGTTCACAGATCTGAAGTTTATACCCACTGCAACTGGCAAAGGGCTCCTTGTCACGGGCTGGTGGGGTTTTGTTCGTCACCCCAACTACCTTGGTGACATCATCATGGCTCTGGCGTGGTCCCTACCCTGTGGTGAGTTCTGAGACTAAAGTGGGTTTTAGCAAAAAGGCTTTTGTTTGTATCTGTCTGGGTTTGAAATGCCAAGTGGGAATTATTTGGGATAGTAAACCCTATTGAATGGCAGATTTCTGTCATAAGTCTAATGCAACATGTTTTTACTTCTATTTTATCCTTTCTAACTTGCTGCAGATTTGACATATACTAAAGATTTTACTCATCTCTCTGACACTTTATCATTCAATAACCGTGGGACTTACTTGCTAATTAGCTGTTCTTTAAATTTTTTAGGCTAGTGAGTATTTTCAGCTGAAGTTCCCCAAAAGTGGGAGTTTGCTTGGAGACAAGGGCCACCACATACAGGGAGGATTTGAAGTGAAAGATATTTAAAAGAAAGGTCCTCAAACACAGTGAAATTATCTTTCAGAGTGTTTGTTAATAATACACAGAGGTGAACACAACACTCAGGTGGAGCAGAGCAGTGGGTTAGAGCCAGAACCTGCTGCCACGCTCCCCCTGATGCAGCCCAGAACACACTTGGCTTTTTGGGCTGCAGTCTCACATTTCTGGGTCCTTTCCAGTTCTTTTCACCCACAGGTCAGGTGGTGTGCTCTGAGCAAAGCTGGCTCATGTCTGCAGGCAAAATAGAGAAAACCTTGTGAGGGGCTCTTTGGTGGTGCAGAGATTTGAATGGAAATATGGTTTTGGTAACTAAAGAACTTTAAATGACAATAACACTTCAATATGTGCCAGCTTTGCAGGCATTGAGAGTGAAATTGGTAGATTTTGTGACTCTAAATGTCACCACGATATTTTCTGAAAAATCCCTTCACCAGGATTTCTTTTCCTGGGAAGCTGAGAAGCCTCAGAAAAGAATGAAAGCAATAATTATCTGATTGCTTGGGAATGTGGTCTGGAGATCATTTACCAACAGGTGCAGCTTTGATTGGTTCCATGTGATTGTTTTAACTCAATGACCAATCCCAGGCAGCTGTGTTGGACTCTGAGTCAGCCACCAGCTTTCATTGGCGTTCTTTACGAGGCTTCTGATGAATCCTTTATAGTTTAGTATAGCATTTCTTATGGTGTGGTGTGATATGGTGTGGTATAATAATGTCATCTAAATATAATAGATCAGCCTTCTGAGAACATGGAGTCAAATTCTCATCTCTCCCCTTGTCCTGGGAACCCTCACAACCCCACATCTCAATTTTCAGAGTTACTTTCTGTGGGTTTGTGGGTCTCTCTACCTGCACGTGTTGCGCTGTCCTGTTGAATATTCAGCGCTTCAGCCTTGCACGAATGTGTCACCGGCTTCGAACACGTTATCAGCTCCCACCTCCAGATCTGTGTCCTGTTAATCTGAGTTCACTTTGTCCCTTTGCAGGTTTCAATCACATCCTGCCCTATTTCTACGTGATCTATTTCATCTGCTTGCTGGTGCACCGGGAGGCGCGTGACGAGCACCACTGCAAGCAGAAGTACGGGCTGGCGTGGGAGCGCTACTGCCAGCGCGTGCCCTACCGCATCTTCCCCTACATCTACTAGAGCACTCCGGGCCTGCTGGGCACAGCCCTGCCACACCTGCATCCCTTGCAGAGACAGATACCTCCTCCCTTTGCACTTGGGCAGTTGGTATTTAGGCTTGTAAAGAAAACAAAACAAACAAACCCCCACCAAACGTTGGAGTGCGTCGAAGGTGTTGCTTACAGTAACTTCGAGGTGTGAGTTATGTGAACTGACTGTCTGTGACTTCAATTTTTAAAAAAAAAAAATTGTGAATTTTCAAAACTCTTCGAGCCCTAATTTTTCAAGCTAAATTTTATCTAGAATTCTGAGTTTACATTTTTTTATTGCATTTAATTAAGCACTGTGATGTAAAGTATATTATTTTCTTAATACAATAAATGCTGAAATTCCATCCAGTTCATTTTTTGGTGTTACTCGTACCATCTAACTTCAGATGTCCAATTTAGTTGCCTGAATTGGAGGAGCAGCAGGGTCTTTTTGGTCAGTGAGCTGGAAGCAGAGGATGTGAGGGGCCTGCAGCCCCCTGACCAGAGCTGGCACAGCTCAGCTTTACATGGTTGTTCCTCTCCTGGCTTTTCATTGATGGCATTTTTTTGGTCAGAGAGGCTCAGCTGGCCCCTCCTGCCCTGCACCTGTGAGAGGATGAAGAGATGGGGCTGGGAGAAGGGGCAGAGCTGTTGCTGAGGCAGTGCCAGGAGTGCCAGGGCAGCTCTGAGCCCGCCTGGCAGTGCCCCTGGCCTGGAGGGGGAGCCTGAAGGGAGATGAAACTGCTCAGAGCCTTTCTGTGGCTGTGGGAGGGAGTAACGAACCCTCAGCTTGAACATGGGGTAAAAAGCGTGCAGTGGCCGCCTGTTGGGCACAAAAGGATAAAATGACCACAGCTGGCTCCTTCTGAGCTTTGTAAATTAAGTCTTAATGTACCATAGTGTTTACCAAGTGTGTATAATAAAATCCTCCACGTTTTTGCTGTACAGTGTTTGGGTTTGAAAAATGCAATAGCTTTTTTAGAAACAGGAGAAATCGGGAACTAAATCAATTTCCAGAAATTTTTAAAAAGTTAATTGAATAAAAGGTTTTGTAAATTAATGTAGTTAATTCTTGAAACAATTGAAGTGTTCATTTAAATATTTGTATTGACAGATATGCTATGAAAATATAGGAAATGCTCCTCAATCCAAAGTTGTTTTTTTGGTTTCTTTTTGTTTTTAATTTGGCATTGCTACCTCATATGTAGGTGTTGCCTTTTGTACTGTTGCAGATAGAGAAATAGCTATTTTTTTGCTATTGCTATTTAAAACGACATTTTTTTACATGAGCCTGTGGTTAAACTCAACCACTTTCTAATATATTTTTGTATATATTTGACTTTTTAACTAATGTATGTGTTCTGGTCACTAGCTGTGTTCTTTGTCTAACTGGCTGTAAATGATATGCCCTTGTGGTATTTACTTCATAAGTAGAATGATTTTACTGAAATACTCTTGCTTTATTAATTAATTAGCTTTTATTCTGTTGTCACAAGTAAGAGCTTTTCACACACTTTGTACATGAGGTTTATAGCACAAATTGCCCTAAAAAGCTTAGTAGAATATTAAATGAAGTGCAGATACTGCACTTGCTTGCAGGAGTGTTCCTAATAAATTGGAATGTTATTTATCAATTTTTTCAGTTATTTTAAAATGTTGATGTAATTGAAATCTAGCATGTGATTTTTAAAAAAAAAATAAAATAAAATAACCTATTTTGTACACGGGCATTTTTTAAAGATAATTGTACAATTGAAGTGTATATCATGTAGCTTGATTGTTGGTGTTGTAAGGAAACTGTTTGAAGACAAGTCCTTTGATTGCTGGCAGGAAATAGCAGTGCCTCGAACAAGACTCGAGAGAGTTCCCTCCTGTGCAGCAGCAGATGAAACTGGGATTTGCTGTTCCAGTCCTTGCTGGGGGAATTCTGGGGAATGGAGAAATCATTAAAGAGCCCTGGAGTGCAGCTGGGTTTCAATGTGCTGAAGGAAGGGGCACTGATTGCTGAGCCCTGGAGCAGGAGCTGCTCCTGCTGCGTTCCCAGTTTTATCTGCTGCCCCCAGGGTTTGCTCCGCTGTCCCTCAGAGCCCTTGTCTTTCAGAACCTGGTCCTGACCAATGGCAGCTTCCTTTACATGCTGAATTTTATGTGAATTTGATTTTGAAGTAACTGTTTTTAATACAAACGAGCCCATGAGCTAAAATAAAGGTTTTGCTTAAAACTAAGTAGTGCAATTTTTTTTTTCCAATTCATGAGGATACCTGCTAAAAATGACATTGCTTTTCCTTATTTAAGTGTATTTCCTTATACAGGTGTGAGTTTGCTGGAGTTCCTGTTGTGCCTGTGGTTGTGGGCTGGGGGCTACAAGCTCAAGTGTGGTGCTTCTATTTCTTCTTCCCTTCTGCTACTCCAAAAACAAACTTCAGCTGCAAAAATACAGAATTAACACTCAGTTTGCCTATTGGATATTGTATTTTCCCCCACAGCCTCTATTAGGAGTAAAAAGCAAACCCAATCAGGCTGTATCTACATAAAGTGTTCCTGCACAGGAAATAAATGCAAGTTTGACCTACAAGGCTGTAGTGGAAATATACAGGAACAGGAATGATAGTTCTGCTTACAGAAGGATATTTACCCATAGGTAATAAAAATGTTTGCTGAAATTGCATTTAGCAGAGCTCATGAGAACCTTAGCAGAGGAACAGTTCTTGCTGTGAGGGGAGTGAGAGCTGTTTGGGGGAGTGGGTGGAAAACCTTTCCTGTGTGTGGATGGAGAACATATTGCACTGTCTGTACAGAGCTGCTTTCTGCTGGGGAAGCTCCCTTAAATTAGAAGGAAATGCTTTGATAGAGCTTCCACTCTTTTAATATTTAAAAAAGAAATCTTAACCGGTGAACTTTTTAACAAGTATTTTTCAAACTTCTCTACCTTTCTGTATGTACAAATATCTGCAATAGCATTACTGAATGTCACCAGAAATGCTTTGTGTCCCACCAACACTTTGTGGGAGTGGGGAAAGCTTTTGAAGGAAGAACTGGAAGTTGGCCAGGGTGGACTGGTGAATTTTTGGTGGTTGTTTTTGGTAAGAGAGAGAGAGGGGGGTGTGTGTGTGTGTGTGTGTGTGTGTGTGTGTGTGGTTGTCATATTCCCATCATGTCAAATTCCCATCCATTTCCTCCTCAGAACACGATCCCGTGTTGTTTCCAGTACTCTATATATTATATAGAATATATGTAATTTCCCTTCTGTGCCTCGAGGTTTGTTCCTCTGAGCAGGGATAGGGAATGCCAGGGCCAGGGATTCCAGCCAATCCTCCTGCCCGCCCCGGTGCTGCACCTCACGCTGCAGACGCTGGGTGGAGCAGGTTCTTTACTCGCTGCTGCATCTCTGTGATCCCAGGAACAGCATCCTCCTTGCCGGGGTGGAACACATTATTCCACTGCAACCATCGGTTCCCTGCCCTCTGCCTGAAGGACTGGGACAGGGCAGCAGCTCCCTGTGTCCTTGTGCTCTGCAATTCCCTTCTGACCCTTGGCTGAAGGAGGTAGAGAAGATGCTCATGTAGCCACATTTCTCTTCACAGAGAAAAGCAAGGCACAATTCTCCCCAAGAATATTTCTGAGTTTCACGTTCTCTGAACCTCAGAGAAAGGAAAAATAATTCTCATTTCTGTGCCTGTGTTGTGCCAAAGTAAAATACAATATAAAAATTGTTTACCCAGAGTGATGGTGTTTTGTTTCCTTGGCCTGTCAGGACCAAGTGTGTGTGTTGGGACAGGAGTCACACACAGTTGTGTGCAGTTGAGTGCTTGGCAGATACAGTTTGTAATGTAATATAGTATAAAATAATATAATAATTAATTAGCCTTCTAATGAGATAGAGTCAGATGCATAATTCTCTCCCCTGGTCAGGGGTGACAATATCCACTGTGTGCTCCTGCATAAACGGGGGCACAGTGCCCTCCTGGGGACCTGTGGAATGCCAGTGGAAGTGCCTTGGACTGTGCACTCCACACGTGTTTTCTGCCCTTCCTCTTGGAGCTTCTGAGCTTCCTTTTGTTGCCTTTATTCCCTGTTGGATCTGGGTATCCCTGGGTTTAGTCAGCCTGACTTGGGCCCTTCTTGCTCCTGTGATTCAAACTGCAGAAACTTCAATGTAATGAACTGACCAGGCACAGGATCCACCTAAAGCTTAAAATCAGATGAATTCCTGTGAAAAGAGCTGTAAAAAATGGTGGATCCTGAGGGATATAAGCAGAAATTAACACCCAGAGGAGGGGAAAAATGTTGAACTCAAAGCCACATTCAAATTCAAACAATTTGCTTCAAAAAAACCCTCATATTGTAACTATTCATGGAAAAGCCTTTCTGCTGGCAAGGCAGATGACATAAAAAACCAAAGCAGAACTATTTCATGCTCTTTTCTACGTGTAATTTTATAATCCTGTCAAGACTCTGAAAGCAAACTGATCCTGCAGACAGAAGGTGAGCACTGGAACCATACAGCAAATTCTGCATGTGTTTATATCTGCTTATCACAGCCTGCAGGGAATGGAACCTTGCCAGCCTGGGAATTCTCCATTCCCACCAAAATAAACATTGGAGAAGTTTCCTGTGAGCAGCTGAGAGCTTATGGAAGTGTACAGGAAAAAAATTAAAATCTTGTTAGCCAGCACTTGTGGAAGTCTGTGGTACAAATTTAGGGGCTCCTTAGCAGCACATTTTGAGTTGAATTTCCACAGAAAAGAATCGGAGTTCCTGACCCATGGCCTGGTGGTTTTGTTCAGCCTGGTGAGGATTTATAACAAATAATCACTGCCCAACTGGTTGGTTGTGACAAATCCCCCACCCCTTCCTAAATTAAACAAAATCAAAATGAAGCGTGGAAAAATTTGTTGTGCAGTTCCTACAGGGCATTCTTGATCTTGCAATTTTTAGGGTTTGCTTGCTCCAAGTTAAGGAGGTAAAAAGAACAATTTGAATGTCTCCTGAGCTTTGGAAAAAATGCTGATCTTCCATCTCTGAACCTCAGGTAGAAACATTATTATAATGAGGAGAAGACATTGTTAAAATCAGACAAA